GGAAGCTGGCGGCCGTCAAGTAGCTGACGATTTCCGGAGCGGGCATGACCAGGCGCCCGGTGTAGGTTGACAGGAGAATATTCTCGAACACCCTGGGGTTCATCACGTCGGGAAGGACGATCCGCCGGCTGTTCTTCAGGAGCACCTGGTCGCAAAAGTAAGGGGAGCTGGCGGCTAGGACGGCTTTGTGGGCCCGGAAGAGGTGGCCCTGGACCACGATAGAAACGTCGCAGAGCTGGCCTTGCTGCCGCTGCTGGTTGAGCTTCTGCAGGACGGTGTTGCAGAAGTCGGGGAATTCGACCCGGAAAGAGGTCGCCCCGGGCTCCATGTCATCCGTGTCCTGCAAGGGAAGAGAGCGCTGGTTTCAGGAGGAAAGGCAAGGCTCGGTTTGGCAAATTGAGAGGGCAGCCAGGCATCACCCCAGGCTAAAACCAGGAGACGGTGAGTTCTAGTCCTGCCTTAGCCATGAAAGCCGGCTGGGTGACTTAGGGCCAATCACCCGGAGACTGAGAGTTCTAGTCCACCTTAGGCATCAAAGCCATCTTAGGTGACTTTGGGCTAATTACCAGGAGGCTGGGAGTTCTAGTCCTGCCTCAGGCACGAAAGCCCAGCCAGATGACTTTGGGCCAGTCCGTTTTCTCTCAGCCCGGCCCACCTCACAGGGTGGTTGTGGGGAAAACAGGAGGAGGAAGGAGCATGAAGTATGCCTGCTGCCTTGAGTGACTTGCAAAGCAGTAGAGGCAGGATTAAAAAAAAAAGAGTGAATAGTAGTAGTAGTAGTAATAATAATAATAATTAATAAAGCACCCGGGGCATCTGTCAGGGCCACCTGCTTCCCTAATAATAATAATAATAATAATAATAATAATAATAATAAAAAAGCACCCGGGGCATCTGTCAGGGCCGCCTGCTTCCCTAATAATAATAATAATAATAATAATAATAATAATAATAATAATAATAATAATAATAATAATAATAATAATAATAAAGCACCCGGGGCATCTGTCAGGGCCGCCTGCTTCCCTCCAGGCCTCCCCTCCGTCCCTCCCAGCCTCCTCTGGCCCGGCAGACGCGCCTGCATCGACCCCCCGTCCTCGAGAGCCCCGCCAGCGCTGGCTCAGGTAGACTGCTCCTGCCGCTGGGGGCTCTCCCGGGGACCAAGGCGCTCCTTCCGCCCTCCACCCACGCCCGGAGGGAAGGAGAGGCCGCCCCTTCACCTGCCTCGGCGGGAAGGCCCCGGGCCTCCCTCACATGGCGGGCGAGCCTCCCCCGCCGCGCGTCCTCCGCCGCCTCCGCCGCCTCCGAGCCTCCTCTCGGGCGCTCGGGAAGGCAGACCCGGAAGCGCGAGTCTCTGCTTCCGGCCCGCGCGCGCCCGCTTCCGGTCGATTAGAGTAGCCTAGACTAGAGAGTTCAGGACGGGACGATAGAGTAGAGCGCCGGGGAGGAGAGAGCGGCGCGCGCGGAAGAGCGCTGGGCGGAGCCGCGTGGGAAGAGCGGCCGAGTCCAACCCGGCGCCCGCGAGCGTCATTTCTGGGGGGGGGGAACGACGGAGAAGGGCATGATGGGAAGTTTGGTTTCGGTTTCGGTTTCTGACTAGTGGCTCTTCCTGGCCAGACATCATCATAGGGGCTGAATTCAGCCTGGCTTGGCTAAAGGCTGAATTTGAAGGCTTCTCCCATTTGGGGGGTCTCGACTATTTTATTAATGAATGAATTAATTACAGTTATTAATAATATCCATTAGGTCACACATCATTCTTTTTACGTGATCCAATAAATAAACTATTCCACGAATGCGTCCGTTTTTATTTTTAATAGGATTAAGTATTGATGAGCATGACCCATACAAGCAAAAGTTCTTTGTAATATTACTACTACATGCAAATGGCTTGGCCTGTTAACAAACCATAACCCCACTCCCTTCCAGCGCTGATGACGTTACCTAGTTGGGTAATGAAATGTCTGCAAGGAAACAACCCAGCTCAGAGAGCACCAAGAACCCCACAGTCCTCCTCCTCCTCCATCCTTTTTAGCACTGATGATGTTACTCAGTGGGGTATTGAAACATCTGCAAGAAAGCAGCCAGGCTGCAAATATTCTCTTCCATTGGTAAAACATTTGGCCTGAAATAATCCAGCCGGCCATCAGATGCATCCCTTTCCCTGTCTCTGCTGCTGCCCCGGGGTTGCCCAGATTTTCCCAGCCTAATTCGGGAAGCCTCTGGGATGCCTTCATTTTGGGAATCCCCCATTTTGCAGATGCTTCCTGGCTCCCTCGGGATGGAGAAGAGCTGCTGGTGGACTTGTTGCCTCGAACCTGCCAGTCCTCTGTGCTGGGTTGAAATCCAGCTTGGCTCGTTAAGACAATCAAAGAGGCACTTTGTGATCCTGGCACGGGGAGATGCTCCCAGAAACGCCATCGGCTTTTTTTTCTTTCGCTGTTGTTATTTTGGAGAGTTCAGAGTAAGGCTTTGATCTATTCTCAGCTTGCGAACTGCACCTCTGACATCTTGGAAGTGTCTGGGAATTTGCTCTTGGGCTCACATGCTGTGAAGCTGAGTCTCTGGTCTCCTGGCGGCATGTTTCTTCCTGAGAAGAAGAAGTCCCTAGCTATAGAATTTCCCATCTCCCAGCAGCGAGTTAGGGGCCGTTGCCTGGTTCAGTCATGACCCAGCATGTAAAGGGGTTTTCTTTTTTTNGGAAGCTGGCGGCCGTCAAGTAGCTGACGATTTCCGGAGCGGGCATGACCAGGCGCCCGGTGTAGGTTGACAGGAGAATATTCTCGAACACCCTGGGGTTCATCACGTCGGGAAGGACGATCCGCCGGCTGTTCTTCAGGAGCACCTGGTCGCAAAAGTAAGGGGAGCTGGCGGCTAGGACGGCTTTGTGGGCCCGGAAAAGGTGGCCCTGGACCACGATAGAAACGTCGCAGAGCTGGCCTTGCTGCCGCTGCTGGTTCAGCTTCTGCAGGACGGTGTTGCAGAAGTCGGGGAATTCGACTCGGAAAGAGGTCGCCCCGGGCTCCATGTCATCCGTGTCCTGCAAGGGAAGAGAGCGCTGGTTTCAGGAGGAAAGGCAAGGCTCGGTTTGGCAAATTGAGAGGGCAGCCAGGCATCACCCCAGGCTAAAACCAGGAGACGGTGAGTTCTAGTCCTGCCTTAGCCATGAAAGCCGGCTGGGTGACTTAGGGCCAATCACCCGGAGACTGAGAGTTCTAGTCCACTTTAGGCATCAAAGCCATCTTAGGTGACTTTGGGCTAATTACCAGGAGGCTGGGAGTTCTAGTCCTGCCTCAGGCACGAAAGCCCAGCCAGATGACTTTGGGCCAGTCCGCTTTCTCTCAGCCCGGCCCACCTCACAGGGTGGTTGTGGGGAAAACAGGAGGAGGAAGGAGCATGAAGTATGCCCGCTGCCTTGAGTGACTTGCAAAGCAGTAGAGGCAGGATTAAAAAAAAAAGAGTGAATAGTAGTAGTAGTAGTAATAATAATAATAATTAATAAAGCACCCGGGGCATCTGTCAGGGCCGCCTGCTTCCCTAATAATAATAATAATAATAATAATAATAATAATAAAGCACCCGGGGCATCTGTCAGGGCCACCTGCTTCCCTAATAATAATAATAATAATAATAATAATAATAATAATAAAGCACCCAGGGCATCTGTCAGGGCCGCCTGCTTCCCTAATAATAATAATAATAATAA